AAAGCAACTTGCACTGATAAATCTTATAATATGTCAGTGTCATTGTTTTGTCTCAAGATGATCACCAGTAATGTTTTTTTTCCCCCCCAAGGCACGTCTAAATGCTACTTAATTGAACTAAGGCCTCCTAAAGCCTGTCAGTGAAACAGATGATAAATGCAGGGTTGAAGGGTAGCCACCGTCGCTGTGCTGGAACAGGAGCTGCCTCAGCTCCCTCAGGGCTCTGGTCAGGTTCTCCAGCTGGTCGTGGAGGTGGATGTTCTCCTCGATCAGTGCGTGGATGGTGTCCTGAAGCTCAAACGCTCGAGTACACACGGCCAGCAGCAGCACACACACACAAACACACACACAGCGCAGAGCCCGCGAGCGACGCATCCTCAATACGCACTCTCACACACACCTGCTGTCCTCACAACGACATCTTTTGTCACACACTCGCCGTAGAACTTTTGCTGGCTGCTCACACACACTCATCTGGCAGTCTAATTCTGTGAAACAGACAGAGTGAGAGAGAGAGTGAGAGAGAGCTCTACTTTATCCTGATCAATTCAATCATTGAGTGAACTCATGAACGCGCTCATAGATTATCCTGATGAAACACGATAAAACACTCCAGCTGCACTGCAGTATTAGCACATAAAACCAGCGAGAACCACAGGCTGTGTGTGGGTTTACGGTTTAGCAAGAGTTTATGACCAAAAACCATTAACTCATTCTCAATGACCAAAAAAGCTCACAAGTGTTGTTATAGTTAACTAAAATGATTACAAACTGTTTAGAGTGGGCTAAACTAAATTAAGACAAACAAAATAAAATGTAAACGATATGAAATTGATAAACTGAAAGTAAAACAGACATTTTTGGAAATGTTTCCTTATAAAACTACAAGGCTGTAGACATGTAAAATAATTAAAAATAAATAATTAAAATGACAAAAACACACAATTAAAACAAACTAAAATATAAAAATCTGAAAGTAAATGTTTATTCAATGTTAATAGATACTTATTAGTATATAAATAACACCACTCATTTGCTATTCCAATCAAATGAGATATGAGAGCTGCAGCAAAGATTTTTAAAGGGGTCATGAACTGGCTTTTTAATTTTTTTTATATTGTTGTCTGAGGTCAACTTATGACGTTCGCTTGGTTTTTACAAAAAAAAACATCAAAATAAATAAGTAATAGGTTATTTTCTACCCTAGTTTTGAGCCTAGCTCAAAAACGCTTGGTTTTTATGGGCTTGTGTCGCATTGAAGACTTAATGGGAACGCCCAATGCTGGGGATAACAGTTGTGCATATTATAATGAGTTTTTATTATAAATATTATATATATATTACAGATTATATTATAAATCTTCGTTAAAGCATTTAAATAAAAACTAACCAGAGACAAACATTAAAAGCTTGATTTTACCCAAAGGGTGATTCAAGTGAATAACAAACAAAAAGTTTATAATGACATGTAAATGTTTTTTTACATTACATTTACATGGCAATTTTGGGTGACCCGAGTTTTCTGTTGACTGGCTTTCAGACTTGGGAGAGCCAAAATGAATAACAAGGCCACTCATAGGACATCTCAGATGCATGTGCATCTATTATACTTAAAATTTGTCCATACACCCCTTCATGTAAAGAGAGGCACAGCAATATATGGATAAACATTTTACAGCAGCAATGTTTAGTGGATAGCACTACCATTAAATACTATTAAAAAAAAAAAAGAAAAAAAGTAATGGTAGTCAGAAAAACAGTGGCTTAATGCTTAATTACCTTGAAATTGAGTGTTGATTTAATGGGAAAATCCTGATAATCCCTTAAACAATCTGCTTTTAATCCAATCCCATAGACTAGGAAAACTTCAAACCACTTTTTCTCTTCAGGAAAAGTTTCTCTTCTATTCAAACTTGCTTCATAAGTACAGTGAAGTTCAAAGGTTAAACTCAGTGACTTTAATGTTTTGTGAGGGTAAACCAATTAAAAATGAGACCTGCAGGTAAAGGAAGTTTGACCAAAAGCATTTTATTAAGTCAGAAGCTATAAACGCAACTATTTATGAACTCTTGGGAGCCCTGGCGCGCTTCTTCTTCACCACTACAGGTTTCTGACTCCTCAGGATGGCGCTCACACGTCTCACAGCCGCCTGGAGGACAGAGACAGAACATCAGTCTCCTGCACAGCTGAAGTGCATTCATTCCATACTAGCAGTATGTTTTGAACTCATGCAGATTCATCTACTGTGGCGCTGTAGAGCTCTTCTGCATTACACAAACGCCAAACTAAAAGTTCAAAACTATTTCCCAGAGGGAAATTGTGTCCCATAACAAATGACTAAAGTAAACTCATGATAAATCCTTCATGCCTTTGTGCGGCCATGTAAACTCACCATGCGCAGGTCTCTCCTGTATTTATTTTTGCGGATGATGTTCCTCACGCTGGCGAGGGTGGCACGAGAGTTCTTGTTGATGGTGATCTTCTCGTATGAGGTGGCAGGTTTACGCTGACCTGAAACACATGCAACCTATAAGCTTAGTAAAAGAACACCAGCGGATGTGTAAAAAGATGATTCAGCGCAGATGAATGGTTTATTCCAGAGATAAATCACATTACATTGAGACCAATAGAATCTAATCCCAAAACAAATGTCTTATGCAACTACTGCGTCATACAAACAACTAGCATCTGAACGATTCTAATAAGCAACCTCATATTTTCTGGGGATTTAAAAGTTGGATTCTTGAAAAATAAAAGTCACCGTTGTCCATCAGCTTGTCAAAAACTAGCAGAGCCTCACTCACCTGCACGTTTCTTCAGGACGACGACCACACCTTTGCCATCAGCAGCCGGCTCGATGCCAACAGTCTTCTTATGAATGAGACCATTGAAGCGGAACGAATTCCTGGCTTTTAGGTTATTTGGTTCCTGACCATGAGAGAAAGAATATACAAGATTAGAAGAATTATAAATGTATAACAAAAACACTGGAAATGTTCAGCAGGACAACTAAAGAAGTGTTCAGACAGCAGAAGAGACACAAATGCCAATAATTAAACTGGATAAGATAGTAAAATTACACAAATTATAAGATAGCCAGGTTACGGCATTCCTCATTCCTAAGATATTAACAAAATCTCGTGTCAGGCCAGTAAATTACACTTCCGTTTACGCAGTCAAAACTGTCAGTTTTCCTACTCATGTTCATTTGGTATGCTGGATCACAGCAGCACAAGGAAATATTAAGACATTTTAGAGATGGAAACTCCTAAAGCAAAATCAGACTAGATAACAACTACATATGAAAGGATGGGACGGAAACAAACTAATTTTCTTAACTAATCTCTAAGCCTGCATCCATTCTCAAATCAGTATTTCTGCATTAGAACACAAACAATATCAGCTTAATAGTGTGAAAACTAAACCCATTAAATGGTTAGGTCACTTTAAATTGTCATCATTTACACACATGTTGTTCCAAACACTTAAGACTTTCGTTAATCTTCAGAACATAAAATGAAGATCATTTTAATGTAAAATTGACTCGCGGTGTTTCGAACGGCTGAAAATTTCTACTCACTGTGTTTCGGGAAGTATGAGGAGTCATTTCTAATATATAACGCATACATTTTAACAACTATAAGCTGGGTTGGTCAGAAGCAAAAGAGGATGAGGCAAAGATGACATCTATATATTTATAGAATTTGTGGAAAACGGTCTAGTGTCCGGAATACCGTGATGTCCAGAATGCAGTGAGTCTACGTTAATCTGAGAGATTTCGCCCCAGAAAGGAAGTAAAGAAATCATTTAAGCATTGCATGTGACTCCAGAAGTTTAACCTCAATTTTATGAAGGGATGTGAAAGCTTTACTCACGCAAAAAAACAAATTATCACTATATTTTCAAAATATTTATCTCCAATGCACGTTCACGCAACATCTGATCTTGTCAACAACACGTAGGTATTGGCTGCTCTTGTGAACACATATTAGAGATTGATATTTAAGGGTTCGGAACAACATGAGGATGAGTAATTAATGACAAAATTTTCATTTTATGTTTAATAATCCCAAAATGCCAGTCACATCAGCAGTGTGTAGCTGAACTGCAGTGGCTTACAGTGCTGTACGTCTGTTTGTTCCTCTTGATAAGGAAACTGGAGGTGTTCCTGATGACCATCCACTGCAGGTGGGACGATGCCATAGTGACTCCTGAATGAAACAAGGCAACAAATGAGAAGAAACAGTCTACAATTAGACATCTACAAAACCACGTAACCCAACATCCTATAATAAAACGATCATTTAGAAATAATACATACACGCACAAAAATACATTATTATACAGAAACACAATTTGCGCCTTTAATACTATCAAAACTCAACCTTTTAATGAAGCTACAGAGCTGCAAAACAGCAACAACAGGATACTTAACACAGGTAACGTTCAATATGAGAGAGATTTTTTTATTTATTTTTTTTGTTATCAGTCGATGCTGACATTAACATGTTTAGCGGTGTGGTGCTTGTCTCACTCACTGCAGGCCCCGCTAAGCAACACCAATAGCGTTTTTAATGAAATATCTTCCTCTTTATTTTCTCTACATCGAAGATTACAGCTCATAAGCAACTTATACACATTCGATGCCCTTATATGAACATTTAATGCTGAAATGTGCGTTATACAGTATTTAATCGAGCTTTGAAAAGTCACACACGACGACCACGTTACCTTTTCGGCAGAGGAAGAGAGAAGGAAAGGAATGAGTTCCAGTTCCGGCGGTTCTTACGTAGATTCTTACGCCTATACGAAGGATTAGTAATTTAGTCATTTACATTCGATTCAGAGTGTAGTAAATGAAAAAAATATATATATTTCAGATGTCTTTTCAAAAAGTCTCAGGAAAAGTTTTAAAAGCCTTTCTTTAAAAAAATGTTTTAAACAGAACTATATGTTTGCTGGACAGTGCGGATGAACATTAAGCCCGCGGACGCGGGTGAGGCAGTTTGAGTACGTCACACGATCTGTGTGTGCTCTTCGTCATTTTCATGCGTTCTTTAAACAACCACAACAACCCAGCTCTCCAAATGCATTATGATTATTATTTGAGGATTGTTAAACAATGTAAATGACAGCGGAGCCCAGATAGATAAGATTATTATTCGAATGATTCGAAATAACCTGTTAATCTTTATCAGCCAATGCTGCAGTGATGAAGAATGATGAAGATCAGGAGACTCTGGGAGAGAAACTGTATGATCTGATTTATCCTAAATACTCTGAGATGACACCTAAACTTACAGGTGACTATCTATCTATCTATCTATCTATCTATCTATCTATCTATCTATCTATCTATCTATCTATCTATCTATCTATCTATCTATCTATCTATCTATCTATCTATCTATCTATCTATCTATCTATCTATCTATCTATCTATCTATCTATCTATCTATTTAACTTAAGTCATGTCATATCTATCTATCTATCTATCTATCTATCTATCTATCTATCTATCTATCTATCTATCTATCTATCTTTTTAACTTAAGTCATGTCATGCAGGTATGCTGCTGGAGTTGCCTGTTTCTGTTGTGGCTCAGATGTTACATGATGAAGCTCTCCTGAATAAAGCATTGGAGAGAGCACTGACCGCTCTCACATCATCTGACCATAGGTATCACACAGCACTGCCACTTGACAAACAAACATACAACTACTTAAAATATTTCTAAATTAATATTAAATACTTTTTCACATATAGGTATAGTACATGGTGCATAACCTCTGTTGGATTCTCTTCCTAGTGAACCTGTGTCTCACACTGATGATGCGGTGTCTGTGTCCTCCGACTCTCTGGGTGAACAGCTGTATGACCTCATTGACCTCTACAACACTGGACATACACAGAAAATAACTGGTACATTTATTGACACTGCAAAAAAAAAAAAAAAAAAACACACACACACACACCAAATGTGGGAATTTAAAGTCTGTAACAATAGTAACATTGCTATGGCAACTGTGCAGGCATGTTATTGGAGCAGAAGAAGGAGGCGGTGCTTCAGCTGCTGTCGGATCATGTGCTCCTCGAGGAACGGGTCAAGATTGCCTTGAAAACCTTGCAGGAGTAGGTGTCTTTGAATTGTTTTTATTATCAGTGTCGGACAGATTTCAGAATTCACTTCATAGAGTTAAAATTTCAATGAATTAGAGAATGTTGAATTGTAATGAGAAATTGCAATTCCAAAACATCCAAAAAATGTAAAGAAAAAAAAAACACTGATTATTCTCAATTCAATTCTGAATGATGCCCTGATTATTAATGTTTGACAATCTCATGTTATACTAGCAAGAATGACTATAAAGTGTTAAATATGCTAGAAACAGATGTGCTCTATCTGCGGCATAGGCAGGGTGACGAGGCGACAGACGTGAGTGACGGCTCAGACCGAGAGGAAGTGGAATCCATTGGCGAGACACTTTTCAGTTTTGTGCATCAGTTAGACCCCGCCCACTCTGCTGACATCACAGGTGAGTTATCAAGCTCATTTAAATACAGGTTTCTTGATCGAGAGATGCTGCGTCCGAACTTGACTACTTCCCTACCATAAAGTATGCGGAAAACATATCGGACAGAGTAGTATGTCCGAATACATATTCAAAAAGCAGATGGCGAAAAGTACCCGGATGACCTGCTACTTCAATGGTCACTTTACTATCCCATGATGCAGAATGCAATTTTGGACGCAGGCAGCAAGTGTTTTTGTACACACTATGTGATATATATTAATGTGTAATCATGTGCAGGGATGCTACTGGAGATGGATTCTGGAACTCTGCGACAGATTCTGTCCGACCGGAGCATGTTGGAAGTTGCAGTTCAGAGAGCAAAAAGTGCACTGGTACTTCAACCAAATATACACACACATTCAGAGCTGCAGTTCATGCACTCCCTGTCGAAGGATGTGTTTGTGCTTTTAAGCTATTATATCGCTCACAACCATAACTTTGAGTTACAGAACTTTTAAAGGGACAGTTCACCAAAAAATGAAATTTATATCATCATTTACGCACCCTCAAGTTGTTCCAAACCTGTATGAGTTTCTTCAGTTGAACACAAAAGAAGATATTTTGAAGAATGTCTGTAATCAAACAGTTGATGATGGACCCCATTGACTTCTATATGATTTTTTTTGTCTTCTCCACACTGTGGAATTCATTCATGGGTGAACTATCCCTTTAAGTTTTAAGCTGGTAAATAATGAACAAGGAAGAGCTCAAGGAGTTTCCTGGACTGAATAATTAATAATCATTTTCTCTTTCCACAGGAGGGGGTTTTGAGCCCAACACACACACAAATGTCAGAATGAGGAATGGAATGACTTGAGGAACTCTCTACTTGGGACTTTTGGGCCCAAATTGCTGTACATTTTACATGTATATTTCAAAACTATGTTTACATGGACTTCTTTTCATGGATTATTTTTTTAGGATTTTTGCCACTTTTTATTGATAGGAATAGGGAAGATAAAATTACTGTGAAAGAAAAAGGGTGGAATTGCATCAGGAAAACAAACAGGCCGGATCTGAACCTGCATGAGAGACTAAGCTAGATGTGTCCGGACTCTAGAGCATCTGCACTAAACATTAGTTCATGGTTTCGGCATTCCAGGGGCGGCTGCACATTTACATTCTTCTGTTGATTTGTGTCGTATAAATCAGCTATAAAATAATATATGTCTGTAAATAAAGAATGAAGAGTTTCATACTCTAGTTTTGTATGAGATTCATGTAAATTCTACTAATATTACAGCCATGCAGATAATAAAGACATGATGAAATGCTTTTAAGTACACAGTTTTCAACTGTTTGGTTCGTCGGTTTGTCCTTTTTTAATGTAAAAAAAAAAAAATTGCTATCTGCTTTAGCTAGTCGATATTACCCAAAAACACAGTAGTAATTAAAAGTTTGGGGTCACTAAGATTACAAAAAAAAAATTGTATTACTTCAATTCAGCAAGGATTCATTAAATCGACTGCAAGTGACAGTAAAGACATTTATATTGTAAAATATTTCTATTTCAAATAAATGGTGTTTTATTTTACTTTCTATTAATCAAAGAATCCCCAAAAAATATTAACAACTGTTTTCAACATTGTTAATAATCAGACATTTTTCTTACTGTGTAAATCATCATATTAGAGTGATTTCTGAATGATCATGTGACACTGATGACTGGAGTAATAATACAGCTTTGATCAAAGGAATAAATTACATTTTAAATAAATTGTAATAATAGCTCACAATATAACTCTTTTTAACTATTTTGATCAAATATATGCAGCTTTGGTGAGCATGAGAGAATACATATATATAAAAATAAAAAAAATCCTCACCAACCCCAAACCTTTCAGTAATGGTTGTAGATGCGTGTTTAGTACTAATGTATCTACACTGTTTAAAAACTATTATGCAAATTACTTTATAATATTAAGCATGCATATATAAGCAGCTCATAGTAAAAGAGACAGAATGCTTCTACCTCTTTAAAGCGAAAAACCATTCTGAAGTATTAAAGAGCTCAAAAATATCTTTATTGTCACTTTATCAAGAATTGTACAGTCAATTTCTAAACACATTGGAAAAGTCTGAGCTTCCTTCAAACAGAGCTGACCTTTGGAATTACAAAACCCCGCTGTTACCATGGGAACAAGGACCCGGAACGAGCAAAGGAATAGCGGTGTGTGATTAAGAGACATGATGACGATCAATCAGAGAGCGAGATGAAGTCAGCGAAAAATAATGAGATATTTTATGAGCAAAACACACAAATGATCACAGGGATTTGGGTAAATCATAAAAATGTGTGATTCTTCGCTACTGGCAAAATCAAGGATTCGATCAGGAGATGGTAGAAGAGATTTGTTTAGCACATTATGGCGATGCGTACACAAACTCGCACTGATATACGGATCCTGTCCGGTCTCATTTAGACAGGAGGCTTAATAAATATCTAAAACATTCTGGTACGCTGCACTGTTCCCATGACAACAGGCCAGACCGCCCTCTAACACATGCATTGGCTGCCTTTAATCAGCAAGACACGCCCACATTTCCTCCCCACGCACGCACGCACGCACGCGTTCATACACACTCGCATACACCCTGCTGAAATGAGCAGACTACACTAAGGGAAATCAAACTACACAGGGCTAAAAATCGCAATATTGCACTTGTATTCACACTGCTCACGCTGAGGACGCCCCGCTGGTCCGTACAAACTCAGAGTTAGACCGCAACGGGTATGAGAAGTCTAGAATGACCGGAGTCTGATCCATTCGTTCCAACTTCAGCACAGATGGGAAAACCACAATTATTTTTTCACGGCGGGACAATGTTATTTGGGAGGCTGAGGGCTGCTAGTAGTCCAGGCAGAAAGCAAACTTCAGTCCGATCTGGTCTAGAAGCACAGATTGATCTAGAACTACAGCGATTCTGTTACTTCACTGTGGGGTATCCTCTCTGTCCCAAACGCCCAGGTCGAGCATGGCTGCTGGGAACAGACTGAAGAAGACAGAGAAAGACATTTGTGTCAGTTTCTTTATGTGACAACATCCACAACATTCACCCTAAAATGAAAACCAAGTCATCATTTACTCACCCTGGTGTTATTCTAATAAAGCCATATATCATTCTTTCTTTTATGGGCCACAAATTCATTTTTCTAAACAAATGTCCCTTTTTAAAGGAGCTGTATGTAAGAAATTTATTTCAAAATAATCATAAAATGGCCCTGATACGTCACTAGACATTAAGAATTTCAAATACTTATATCACTGACAACAGTAGTCCGGCCACGATATTGTCATTTATAAAGTGAAGTTGCAGCCCTTGACTGATGTTGATGTTGTCATGTTGTGTTTTGGTCTGATGCTCCACCCTCCACATATCTACCAATCACGAAGTCAGTAGTGTTGCAGCATCCCGGTTGCCAGCTCTGCTCTAGTTTCCACAGCTACAGATACAAACGTGTGGGATAACATTTTTTTTTTGGATCCTGCAACCTATTATCTGGTAACCTTGAGTCAGGGGGAGGGGGAGGGGATACACCGCTCTGCAGTAATTTGAAAGTGATTGCAGTACCAGTTTTGGTCACAATCTTACATACAGCTCCTTTAAGCTTTTTAAAAAAGACACAAAAATGTCACAGAATGAACCCATGCTTCACATGTAATTTTGAGGGAATACGAGAGGGTTTGGAATTGAATTTGACCTCAGCCGTTGATCTGTGCTCGACTGCGCATTCATGAGTCTATCAGCACCGCAGTTCAATTTGTGAGAAATCAAGATAATAAAAATGCGGCATGAAATACATCTCATGAACCCTCTTCTCTGAGGTGAATAGACCCATTTTGTTGGTCGCAATGAAGTTATGGTGTTCACATCTGTCAGACAAACGGAGTTCCAGTGCAGCAATACTCAGTGAAGAAAGAACACAGATACATTTTTAGGATTTTCTAGGCATTGTAATTCATGTTTTATTTTTGGTAAACTTGATTTCTCACAAATCGTCTCCAATAGAAGACCAACAGCCAAGGACAAGAATTTCATTAAATAATACATTCAATTTCTGTTGAAATTTCTGTTTTTCACTAAACCCTATACACGCATCGCATTCTATGACACTTTTGCATCTTTTTTAAGTCACTATTTGCTGCCATTATTTGGATAAGCACGAGCGGGTCATGCGGCATTAGAACAACACCAGGGTGGGTAAACGATGACTTTATTTTCATTTTATGGTGAACTATCTCTTGAAGGCAATACACTATAGGGAAAACAGCCAAAACACACATTTAAGTGTTTATTACACTATCTTTTTGCATCTGTAGATTTCAAAAACAAGACATATCTTTAAATGCTGTTTTCTCAAAATGAGTTTTTTCTCCTGCACTGAGCCAGAAATCTCCATTTCAGCAGCATCTTAGATCATATCTATATTCTACTTTACAGAGGAGTTTGTTCAAATATCATTCGCCTGATTTACATAACCTTTTCTTTCTATTCAAACATAAAACTGGTAATTAGAAACAATTGTCTTAATGTAATGTGATGAATAAACTAGGGAACTATGGTGATATCTATTAGTATTTATTTTTTGTTGCCTGCGGTAAATATTTCTGTTTAGATACAAATATAATTTTTTATGTTAATTTAGAAAATTTGCATTAACTAAATTTTACTGTTTTATTTGAAAATGCATTTTTTACAGTAAAAAAAACATATTTTTATAAAAATAAAAAAATAAAGTAAAAGTAAAATAAAGTTGAAATATCAAGAGCAAAAATGCAATAGAAAATAAACTGGCTATTGTTTTAAAATAAAATCGTATAAAAAAAAGAAAAAAACATTTTATTTCAGCTAGTAGCAAAAGCAACATTTTGTAATGTTTATTTATTTTATACTAATATTGTTTCAATTAACAAAAACGATTTTTGAATCATTTTAGTTTTAGTTAAAAAAAAAAATTCAAATAACATCCCTTGTGAATCCTACCTGTGCAAACTGGGAGGGGTTATAAAAGGTCACGCCCCCGGCAGGTGGAGCTGCTTGCGCTGGCGGCTGAGCGGGAACCTATGAGAACACACTTGTGGTTACCATAGGAACAGAAAAGCAACATCACCACCATGGATGCGGACGGCCATGTCCACTGAAAGTCATGATTAGCATGCAGCATGTGATTGGTTAATGTATGCATGCACCAAAAGGGGGCGGAGCCTCAATCTTCAGCACGCCTCTGAAAGCCCTTCCTATTGGCCATGTACTCAGTCAGGGCTGCTGATAACACAAAGGTGTCGTGCTGGAGGTGTGGCTGCAAGTGCGTGATGTTAGAGGCGTGCAGACAGCATGTGTGCTCATGTTTTCCTATGCAGCATTAGAAAGCACTGCATAGCACTGTTGTTTTACCATTGCAGTGTGTGGAGAAGGTGTGTGTTTCAGATAAGAACCAGCTGAAAGTACCTGATTTAAATGCTGACTCACTTCTCGAGATAGAGAACTCATTGAGCTAGAACGTGACAGCTAGAAGAGCAGGAATGAACGAAACAAACAAAAACACCACAAACCCAAATTAATCTCATGCATCGCTTAAATCACACATCTCTTGTCAATCATTACAATATGATTACATCACAAAAAAAGTGGTCTCCATGGCAACACCTCACTAGCATGTAGTCCTTTAACATGCGTTCTCACTCTCAAACACACTCGCACACACTCATGAACTTTGTGTCACCAGATCTCACATAATAATCAAAACCCATAATCATGGAATACAAGTAGAGAAGCAAGATCAAGTGTATGTGTGTGTTTCAGAAGCAGTAAGTATACATGTCAGCATATGTGTTGTTAAAATTATGTTAATCTGCATTAATGGGTGAAGGAGCAGGGCATGACAGAATGAAGTGGCTTTAAAGAAAAAGCTGAAAGAATGATCTGACCTCTCCAGACTGGGTTCCCTCCGGGCCGGGAGGCAAAGCATTCGGATTAAACATCTAGATGGAAAACACACAATCTTTATAGCGGATGTGTATTACATGCACATTTAGGTGTGAATGCATTTCTGTGAGATGGTAGTGCTGACATGTTATCTGATATTAGAATTCATTAAATAAATAAATGCCAATCAAGAAATCGTCAAGAACCAAATGTTAGTTGAAAAGCCTCAGTTGAATAAAATAAGTTGAGATGTCAAGAGCAAAAATGCAATATGAAATAAAGTGGCTCTATAAATAAATAAAATTAAAATAAAATAGCCAAATGCAAGAAAAAACAAACAAACTGGTGAGTAAATAAAATGTTAAAAAATAATTAATACAATTTATTTTATTTAAAGTAAATAAAATGTGAAAATCAATCAAATACATTTTATTTACCTTTCTGTTTTTATTTATTTTTATTACTCACCAAAGCAATATTAGCAAATCAAATGAAAGAGATACACAATGTCAACAACACAAAAGCTCAAAGAATGCTGTGCGGCTCGAATTTGCAAGAAAAATATGGCTAAACAAGTCCGGTTGTGATCAAACTGAATTCTGGACACAGTCTGTGTGTTTATATGTGGTGTGTGTTGCAGGGCAGATGTGTGTACCTGTGGCACGGTGGCACTAGTCTGCTGTGTGTTTTCACCACTGGCGTCTGGAATGCTTCCCTCCATCGGCTGCTGCTCACCTGGGGCTGAAAAGAGCAGTGTTAGACTTCACACATACATAGACTGATGCACATAAACACACTGATGTACACACACACACACACCTGCAGCTGGTGTAAAGAGGTTGGTTGGCATGGCCATGGGTGCGAGAGGAGCAAACAGGTCAGCAGGTGGTGGAACAGCAGCGGTGGGTTTAGATCCTCCACGACCAGGATTCAACACATCCACATAACGGCTCTTTGTGCCTAAAACAAACACACTTACTAAACAGCCAATAGAGTTTTGGTTGGGGGTGCGACAGATTTAAGATAGAGAGACTTCTTTTTAATAGCGTCTTTGGGTTTAAACCGCTTTAGCTCAAATATAAATAGATTTCAGAAGTTGGATTCATGCTTATTAATCATTTTAATTCATTTCAAAGAATTGCTTCATTGATTAGTCCCTGTGAACCATTTTATGTTATTAATATTAAAAATATAAAATATTCATAGATAAATGATGTTCTTTACTATGTTTTGTTGTATTGGTATATAACAAATATCATTCTTCTTGGTGTTCATTTAGTGTAAAACATGCCTTGAATATTTTTAAATAGGTTTTTACTATTTTAGTTTCATTTAAAAATGTATAAACATTGTATGGTATTTGGTTATTTTAGTATTTTACATACCAGTCTAATTTTTTATAAATATTTTGAATTTCTTCTTAATTTTAATCTAAAGTCTTCAACTCCCACCAGCTTCAACCGGATCCCGAGGGAGGCTGGAGATATTGAGTCTGAGTGGACCAGGTCTCTGGTGCCTGTAGAGGCGGCAATCCCCAGACCTGGAGGTAAGGAATGCCGTCAAGCTGAAGGAGTTCTATCAGGCCTGTCTGGCTCGTGGGACTCCTGAGGTAATTGACAGGTCTCAGCAGCCCAAGCAGACTGCAGCCCGGGTGGTTGTGGAGGCAAAGAAAAATTGGGCCTGCGAGGACTTTGGTGAGGCTATGGAGAAGGACTATCGGTTGGCCTTGAAGAGATTCTGGCAAACTGTCCCTTGCCTCAGGAGAGGGAAGCAGTGCCCTACCAACGCTGTTTACAGTGGAGGTGGGCGGCTGTTGACCTCAATTGGGGATGTCGTCAGGCCGTGGAAGGAATACTTAGAGGATCTCCTCAATCCCGCCGTCACGTCTTCCACTGAGGAAGCAGAAGCTGAGGGCTCAGAGATAAACTCGTCCATCACTCAAACAGAAGTCACAGTCAAGAAACTCCTCAGTGGCAAGGCACCGGGGGTGGATGAGATCCGCTCCAAATACCTCAAGTCTCTGGATGTTGTGGGGCTGTCTTGGTTGACACGGCTCTGCAGCATCGCGTGGTGGTTGGGACACTTCTCAGCCTGCCCGTAAAAGTCTATGCCAGGGTACTGGAGAGGAGAATACGGTCGATAATAGAACCTTGAATTCAGGAGAAACAGTGTGGTTTTCGTCCCAGCCATTGAGGGTGCTGGAGGGTTCATGGTAGGGGAGTGCGATATGACGATTTTTAATCGTGGACGATTAAAATGTCTCCACGATCTGCTTTTGAAGAAATATCGTAGTATCGTGTTACATTGCATTCTATCAGAACAGTTCTGCCGCCCCGTCTCAACTGTACAACGCGACGTAGCCTACACACGTTAATGAATAGGTACGGGACACTGCAATTCACAAAAGTTCATTATTTGCATAAGCCTTGCCGGTTAAACATTTAATTCACGCGCTGATGCGCTGTTCTAACGTGCGCTTTCCTGACCGCATATACCCCCGACAATCACAGGCACTAGAAGCATGTCAAACAGCACCTGAATACTGGACTAAGTTATCTTTCGAGTCTTATTATGCTAATACTGTTAAATACACACAATGTTTACATAAACAGGCTATGTCTAAAGTGAAAGCAAACATTTGAGAGAATATCTGGTGTAATATGCGTCTATATTAAACGCGTCGCGTGCTGGTCTAAAAGCGACAGGAATAAATAGTACTGCCGCTTGTCCTTAAAGGGATAATTCACAAAAAAAAAGAAAGAAAATCTGTCATTATTTACTCAATCTAATGTTGTTACAAACCTGTATTCATTTATTTCTTGTGCTGAACACAAAAGACGATTTTTTAATGTGGGTAACCAAACAGTTGCTGGTCCCCATTAACTTCCAGGAGAGAACCTATAAAAAACAGGGGGACCAGCAACTGTTCGGTTACACACATTATTCAAAATAACTTTAATTTTCAACAGAAGAAATAAACTTATTCGGGTTTAAAACATCTTGAGAGAGTAAATTAAGACCATTTTCATTTTCGAGGGAACTATCTCTTTAGTAAAAGAAAAAAAAAAACACAAGGAGAAAATCACTCACTGAGTGAGAACTTTAATAGTAGCTTTAATAAGAATCAATTTATTCAGTGAAGTCTATGTAGTGTTTTAATTTCATATTTGTTTAATTTAATTACTTTCTTCAATGCTACTGCTAAATACACCTACTGCATCTGAAAAAATAAAGCACTATTTATTTATTTAATTTGAATATTAATCTGTGTAATGTTTATCTTGTCTTATTTTTTTAATAACAAAGAAAATAATGACAAAGATTTTTATCTTCGCCACTGGCCTAAATGTATGCCTTTCTTTTTTCTTTTGTTACCTAAGGCTTTGTTTTTAACATAAGGACATTAGTTTGGCTGTAATGAACAGCCACTTGCAAAATATTAAAACCAACTTGAAAAAGAATGGTGATAAAAAACCGTGATCGTGATTTTCCTAAAAAAATCGTGATATGACATTTTTTCCATATCGCCCACCCCTAGTTCATGGTAGTTTGCCCAACCAAACCACATTGTGCTTTTGTGGATTTGGAGAAGGCATTCGACTGCGTTTCCTCTGTGGAGGGTGCTCCGGGAGTATGGGGTCCGGAGTTCTTTGCTAAGGGCTGCCCAGTCCCTGTATGACCGAAGTAGGAGCTTGGTTAGCATTGCCGGCAGTAAGTCAGACTTGTTCCCTATGCGTGTTGGACTCCGGCAGGGCTGTCCTTTGTCACCAGTTCTGTTCATAATTTTTATGGACAGAATTTCTAGGTGCAGCCAGGGGCCGGAGGGTGTCAGGTTTAGGGACCACACGATTGTCTCTACTTTGCGGATGACGTTGTTGTGCTGGCCCCTTCAGACCAGGACCTTCACTGGGACGGTTTGCAGCCGAGCAGCGCCTTCAAATCCGAGGCCATGGCCCTCAGTCAGAAAAAGGGTGACTTGCCCACTTCAGGTTGGTGGAGAGTTCCTGCCTCAAGTGGAGGAGTTTAGTTTCTTGGGGTTTTGTTCACGAGTGAGGGAAGGATGGAACGGGAGATTGACAGACGGATCGGTGCAGTTTCTGCAGTAATGTGGTCGATGTACCGGTCTGTTGTGGTGAAGAAGTTCTCGATTTACCGGTTAATCTATGTTCCTACTTTGAGCTTTGGGTCATGCAGGGGTGGTGATGGCGCAGTGGATAAGACACATGCCTTTGGTGTAAGAGACCCGGGTTCGAATCCACTGCGAGACACCAATGTGTCCCTGAGCAACACACTTAAGCCCTAGTTGCTCCAGAGGCGTGCGACCTCTGACTAATGGCGCTTTTCCATTACCAGTACCAGCTGGACTCGATTCAGCTCGCTTTTTATTCCGTTTTCCATTGCAGACATGACCGCCACAAATAGTACCCGGTCGTCATAGCGATGCCTTTCGTTCCTCGTTGCCCTATCAATCTCTCGCAGGATCCTGTCTTCGGCCACCAAACAAAGGAAAGTGCACCTCCTCGTTTAACCACGGCGTATTCTTCAGAGTTGCCATAATAATAGTAGTTAGTTCAGTAACTATCTCTGGCCAAACTATTTAAAAATAGCGGGGTTATTCTGGATACTCCATCTGGTGCATGTTATGATGACGCAGTGAATGGTGACGATTCTCTCTGACCAATCAGCAGTCGGCATTGTTTTCACGTGACATTTTAGTATCGCCTTAGCTCGTTCAGAACCTCGCCGGAGGTGGTACAAAAAATGCTAAGTAAATTAACCGGCCCCAGATAAGCAGAAGATGCTGGATGGATAGATTTTAATAATTCTGAAAGTTTTAGTAATTTTATGTGCTTTTGTCATTTGAATACATTTTTTTTATATATATTTCTATTTATTTTAGATTTCATTTTTTTTTAGATTTCATTTATATTTTTCCACAAATTTGTGAACTTCTTTTGAAGTTTTGAAATTTTACAACTTCTTTTATTTCAGTTCTATTTTGAGCCAAAGCAAAGGTTTTTAAATGTGATATTCAATTAAACTTTATTTTAGCTTTATTTCAATTCACTAATTATTTTTAGTAGTTTTAGTTCGCGACATCAGCAATGACCTTTTTGGTCCAAATTATGATTCCTCAAGAAAAATAACACCCTTTTATTTAATATATGAATTTATGCGTTTAATATCTATTCTGACTCCCCATGTGACTGGTGATATACCTGCTCTCCTGGAGAACATATTGACTGGTGGCCCCATCGCTGGACCCCCTGCTCCTGGTGGCCCCATCCCTAGGCTGCCCATCGGAGCTTTGGGGAAGCTGGTAGGTGGAGGGGGAGGGGGTTTGCTCTGAAACACAAACAAATTCCATCTTTCACAGTCATACATGCATGTAAGTTTACAGCATTTGAAATGCATGAACTAATTAATCTGCTGTACCTCTTCCTCCGGCTCATCTAGATTCACCCATTTCTGCTTCTTTTCATCCCAAACAATCTGAAAAATAAATGCAATCTCTTAATCAATGCCATGAAACAAGACGGGTATTGATAGAGAGCAGGAATATGTTGGAAGTATGTGCCTACAGTTTTGTTCTTGTCATCTGGAAGGTGCGCTTCATTCTTCCGTTTTGGATACAGCCAAGTCAGCCAGCCGCTGCCACCCGCTCCCTAATGAAGAAAGAAAACGTAATAAGACTATGCAAAATTCATTAGAATCATGAAAGATTTCCTAGTCCATATCCAGTAGGTCTCTGTATATGTTTATATGCAAGTATGTACCTTTTTGGGAGAGTCTTTCTTTGTCTTCTTGGATTCATCTTGTGGTGGAGCCTCTGGGATAGGTGGGGGAGGAGGAGAACCCTGATTGGCTAGCGAACTGCTGCGGTCCCGTCCAGAATGATTGGACGATTCTGACATAGTGCGAGACCGACGACCCGATGTCTGCAAATAAGAACAGAATCAGAGATGTAACACACAATGCAAGGTTAAAACTAAGTACTCTACTGATCAAAAGTTTGGGTGGGTAAGATTTTAAAAATGTTTTTGAAAGTCTCTTTCACTCCCCAAGGCAGCATTTATTTGATCGAAACAGTAATTTTGTGAAATATTTTTAAAGTTTAAAATAACCGTTTCCTGTTTCAATAGGTTTTCAAAATGTAATTTATTCCTGTAAATCAAAGCTGAATTTTTTAGCATTATTACTCCAGTCTTCAGTGTCACATGATCCTTCAGAAATCACTCTAATATGTTGATTTGCTGCTCAAACATTTCTGATTATTATCAATGTTGAAAACAATTGAGCTACTTCATTTTTTTTTTTTTGGAAACAGTGATACATTTTTTTAGGATTCTTTGAAGAAAAGAAAGTTCAAAAGAACAGCATTTATTTATATTTTTTATTACACGCATTTTATTATATGTATATTATTGTACGTATTTTTATATTTTTTATTTATACGTATTTTCGGTCACTTTTGATCACATTAATGCATCCTTGATGAATAAAGGTAATAATTTCTTGAAATAAAACTGTACATAATCTTACTATATACAGACCGACTGTACCATGTGTATCGATGATGACTGTGAAGTGGTTCTCGATCTTCTGCCTGGGCCCTAAAACAAACAACAACAGGAACCAGTTTAATACATTAAAATTCCATTAAAAAAAAAGTAACATAACTAGCTACTTTATGTAGGAGCAATGAAACAAATGTAACGCAGGGTGCAGGAAGTAAAGATGGACTAACAGCTGTTACATTTCAAAGTATTTCATGTCATGATAAATACAACTGAAAACCCAAGTAAACGTAAAAACTAAAGCAAACAATGTTTTACATTCCATAAAAAGTAATGATGCAAATTAATTAGCTACATTTTTGCAATGTAACATTCCTTTAAAAAGTAATAACAGCCAGAGTTAGTTGTAATAAATATGGAATTCTGGGTTTCTAGGTTATTATAACTCACCATGCGCGCCATTTCATCATAAAAGTCCTTCCCTTGTGGAGGGGGGCCACTGAATGTCGGCGATAACTGAGGAAACTGCTGAGGAGAGGAAGGGGCAGAGCCATGTTCAGAAGCATGCACCTGATGTTGCCCTCCCATGGGCATCTGATGTTGCCCTCCCATGGGCATCTGATGTTGCCCTCCTGGCGGCATCTGATGTTGCCCTCCTGGCGGCATCTGATGTTGCCCTCCTGGCGGCATCATTTCTGTAGAGTTGTACGTTGGCATTTGTGGGGGTATTTGCTGGGGAATTTGTGGGGGTATTTGCTGGGGCATGCGTGTGTACTGCTCATGTGTTTCAGGTTGGTACGTTGCCACAAAGTTTGTTTGTGGTGGCCCTGGGTAGAATGGAACACTTTCACTTGGAGGCGGGGCTTGCTGCGGAGGGACCGCCCCATCCTGAAGAATAGTAGGAGGGGCTAAAGGAGACAGTAAAATAGATGGTGAATGATAAAGGAATCAAAATAGATTCTTCTCAGGTTCACATTACACACTGAATCATACCTGGTGGCATGAGTTGAACACCACCTTGCGGCACAACGGAGGCCATGAGAGGATTGTGGGGATCAGGGGTCAGAGTTGAGGGGTCAGGTGGGCTGCAGTGGTCTTCTGAACTGGGCGTGCTACAGGGATAAAGTTGTGGGGTGCTGCGATCCGCACGGAAATTGATCACACCGTCCTGAATGGGACAATAACATGAATGTGATCAGAACATCTAATGTGATTTTTCTGAAAAAATAATGATTGCAATATATAATGCTGCAGGTTGGCTGTGCTTCTTTTGTAGGACTGCACAATTCAGTCAAAAATTTTGCAATTATATATTATTTATATATAATTATATTATATTGTATAATTTATATTGTATTCTTTTCACCAAGCCATATCACGATTTCGATTTTATTTAGATGAATCAACCCTATCTAGAATTATGCCATAAACTTAAAAAAGAAAATCTTTAATTTACTGGTACTATGCATGCAGGAATAGAGTATTACATTTTCATAATGTGCATCACTAGCATGGGGACTTTACTTTTAGATAAAAGAAAAGACACACACCTTGATCTGTCCATCCAGTTGTCTGAGATGCAGTAACCAATCAGGCTCTATAAACAACTCCTGCTCTGGTCTCTCCTTCAGCTGAGGGTCAAAAAACCTCAACCTCAGAGACATCTGTAAAGAGACACAGGAAGAAAGATTAGACACCAAAGAAATGCAAACGTAGAATTCATTGTCTTGGTTTATGTACCTGTATGAGCTGACTGATGAACACAGGCGAGTAGTACTCAGGTAGGTTCAACAGAGTGCGTGAAATGACCTCACAGTAATGGAAGGCTTGAGCACAGAGTCCCGACTCCGCCAGTCGACATGCGTAGATGAATTTGAACACCTGTGCAGGTCAAAGGGTAAAAGGTCATGACCTTCTTGGATTTGTTCAGAAGGTACAGATAGGTCCAGCATGCCTAATTAAAGAGGCCACAGAATGGTTTTTAATGGTTTCCTTTAGTATGTGTAACTTATCTGTGCATGAATGAGATCTGCAAAGTTACAAAGCTCATAATCTCACACAAAAGGGATTTATTCTATTTAACAGAGAACAATGCTCCAGACCTGCCTAAAATGCCTTGATCGAAGTCCAGATATTATGTCCATAAACGTCTGAGACATAATTTGAAATATTAGCAGAATGCCTGTCTAAATGCATAAGCAAAGAAGAGTATTGCTTCAGTGAACTGTAGTGTTGTTACCATGTCGCAATTATGTTAAGGGGCATTACATTTACACCACACAACTGAGGTGTTGGGCCAATCACAATGCATTGGGTTAAAAAACAGGAACTAAGTGTTTCAGACAGACTGGGAATATAGAGTTACTGCAAAAATGCACAGTATGTGAAACTTTTGGGGGTTTTTTTAACATTAAAGCATGTTAACTTATTCTAGTGCAATAAGTTAACATGCAATGGCTTTTTAAAATAGCAAAAACTTAAAATAAAGTAGTATTAGGGTAAAGTAATAACGAAAAAGACATTTAGAAAAAAAAAAAAAAATCAAACAAAATAATAAATAATACTAATTAAAAATATTAACAAATACTATAATAGTATGTTAATGATAATTTAAAAAAAAAGTTTTTGATAACGCCCCAACACGTTAGTGATGAAAACATCCCTAATCGAGTGAGTGCATGTGTAAGTGTTCATCTCACTTGGAAGTTGGGCAAAGAGAGGGCGTGAGAGCCAAGGGACTGGGCGTACTCGTACGATTCTGTACGCTGAATTGCCTCTGACGAGCAGAACTTCAAAAACGGCATGCTGATAGAGAGAAGAGAGAGAGAGAGAGAGATAATGGATGTTAATGCAAATAAATGTGTCCACTGTTTGCATGTATATCACTAATCAACTGTACGTGTCATTACACACCTGTGATTGGAGCTGATGAGGACCATCTTGGTGCTTTTCTTAGTATAAACACCAAAGCCCACCTGAGCCATCAGGTAACAGAAATGGGCTGCATCCACTAGACCTTTAGATGCTATAACAAACAGAAGATTGTTGACTACAGATCCAGTGCGGCACCCACAATATGCGTGTTCACCTTCATGACAATACGTTTATTTACCTAATGTGTCCCCCATGGTTGAAATGGTGCGGGTGTCAAGATCCAGAGTGTGTGTGAGGTTGGACAGCACCATGGCCAGATGAGGGCGCCAATCGCCCCATTTTTCATCTCCGCAACACTGCCAGAAAAAAAAAAGATGACTCACTTGAAGAAAAGAAATGTATACATGACTGTATTAACATCCACAAAGTCTCTCGTACAGTAGCAGCAGCCGGCATTCGTCCTGACATGAGCTGGTAAACCGTCTGAAGAGGGTCGTTAATAGGCAGGCTGTTGGCAAACCTGGCAACGACAAGAAGAACCACAATTTAAGCAAAAACTGTGTGTTGCTTTAAAAGCATAGGTTGGTGTAAGTGGAGGTGGTTTACCTGGTCATGACACGGGCGTGTGTTCTGTTGTCCATCTTACTAGCCAGTAACAGCGCATGTCCCCACAAGCCTTTCTTCATAGCAGACTCTAGAGCATCCTAACAAACATATACAAATTTCATACAAATTTTTCAAATGTCTTTCCACTTTTAACATATGGTTTTGTCAGTCTGGAAAACTCTCATCTAAAAACATAAGTATTGTTGAATTGATAAAAATTCAACAAACCAATGAAGAAATATATTACTTGCAATAATATTATTGTACTGTAAACTATTGTTTTAATTTAATAATTATAAAAATTGTATCATTATTCTTATTAATATTTTATAATTATTCAAAATCATATTTGTATGTATTATTATTTAAATGTTACAAAATGAAGGGAAAAAATATATAAGAAATATCCCTGTAAAAATAATAAATGAAGGTTACACTTTAGTTTAGGGTCCAATTCCCACTATTAACTAGTTGCTTATTAACACGCATATTACTAGGATATTGGCCGTTTATTAATACTTATAAAGCACATATTAATGCCTTATATGCCTAATACTGTCCCTCCCCATACCTAATTTTTTTACTGCTTATTAATACAAACTATTAATAAGCAGTAATTAGGAGTTAATAGCAAGTTAACAGTGAAAATTGGACCCTAATCTAAAGTGTGACATCATTTTATTTTACAGAACAGAAAAATTACTAAAAAAAAAAATACTAAAACACAGAAAAATCACAAGCATGTGCAACCGTAACTGGCCATAACCACAAATTAACATAATCTGAAGTCAAACAGGATATTTAACAAGAAACAATGTTGGCCACGACTTTCAACATTTGAAAAGGAAAGACATGTTTTGTCTTGCCTTCTTGCGGCCGAATAGTAGCAGTTCTCTGAAGCGCTCCGTCTCCTTGCCGACATTCTCGGGCACGCCCATGAAAGTGTCTGATAGGAGGGATATTGGCCCCGCCTCATCCGCTTCAGCATGCTCTATTGCCTCGTTGTTGAAGTCGATGAGATTAGCCTCATTGGGGGATTTTCCCGGCAACCAAACAGAGCGATGCTCTTTTAGCAACAGGTCAGCAATGTCCGTTCCCACTACAGTCTAAAACAAACAAAGCTCACAATTATTAATGGTTTCTATTACACTCATCACATGACTACATGCCAAATAAATATATAAATTAACATTAAATATTAATTTAACTGATCTCGAACTTGGGTTTGGACAAGCAACCAAACACGATTCACACTCTTAGTTAAGTTAAGGCCTGCACAACCACTCACCCCATTCTGGCGACACAGCAGCACAATGAACTCCCAGATGAGGAAGGCGGAGTCTTTGTCGATGAGGTCATCGTTCCGCAAACACTCTTGGGCTTTGTTCTGAGCAAACTTTATGACATCCACCTTATGAGTCTCCTCTCTGTTGACACAAACACACACGAAATGAAGACTGTTATTTGACTGTGTACGTGGCTTTGACAGTGTCAGACTATACACGTGTACACCTTTATTCAATAAATAAAGGATGATTCTTACTTGACGAGTGGGCCAGGGAATGAACGCATTTCTGCCTGCTCTGAAGAGTCCTGCAGAATCGTCTGGAAATAACATCACAGGCACGATATCAGATGCAAATAATTTCATTGAGCAATTATCATGGAGCTATTTATAACCAATCACAAAACTACACTCTGGAGGAGTGCTGGGAAATAATAATAATAATTCATTACATTTATATAGTGCTTTTCTAGGCACTGAAAGCACTTTACATACAACCCGAATTCCAGAAAAGTTGGGACGTTTTTTAAATTTGAATAAAATGAAAACTATACGACTTTCAAATCACATGAGCAAATATTTTATTCACAATAGAACATATATAATATAACAAATGTTTAAATGGAGAAATTTTACACTTTAGTCCACTAAATGAGCTCATTTCAAATTTGATGCCTGCTACAGGTCTCAAAATAGTTGGGACGGGGACAACAAATGGTTGAAAAAGCAAGAAATTTAGAAAGGATTCAGGTGGGAGAACATCTATAGCAACTAATTAAGTTGATATCAGGTCTGTAACATGATTAAAGGGATGTCTTAGAGAGGTAGAGTCTCTCAGAAGTAAAGATGGGCAGAGGCTCTCCAATCTGTGAAAGAGTGCGTAAAAAGATTGTGGAACACTTTAAAAACAGTGTTCCTCAACATCAAATTGCAAAGGCTTTGCAAATCTCATCATCTACAGTGCACAACATCATCAAAAGATTCAGAGAAACTGGAGAAATCTCTGTGCGTAAGGGACAAAGGCGAAGACCTTTATTGGATGCCCGTGGTCTTCGGGCCCTCAGACTACACTGCATCACTCATCGGCATGATTGTGTGAATGATATTACTAAATAGGCCCAGGAATACTTCCAGAAACCACTGTCGGTAAACACAATCCGCCGTGCCATCTCCAGATGCCAACTAAAGCTCTATCATGCAAAAAGGAAGCCATATGTGAACATGGTCCAGAAGCGCCGTCGTGTCCTGTGGGCCAAGGCTCATTTAAAATGGACTATTTCAAAGTGGAAAAGTATTCTATGGTCAAACGAGTCCAAATTTGACATTTTTGTTGGAAATCACGGACGCCGTGTCCTCCGGACAAAAGAAGAGGGAGACCTTCCATCGTGTTATCAGCGTTCAGTTCAAAAGCCAGCATCTCTGATGGTATGGGGGTGCATAAGTGCATACGGTATGGGCAGCTTGCATGTTTGGGAGGCACTATGAATGCTGAAAGCTATATAAAGGTTTTAGAGCAACATATGCTCCCCTCCAGACAACGTCTATTTCAGGGAAGGCCTTGTGTATTTCAGCAGGACAATGCAAAACCACATACTGCAGATATTACAACAGCATGGCTTCGTCGTAGAAGAGTCCGGGTTCTGAATTGGCCTTGCCTGCAGTCCAGATCTTTCACCTATAGAGAACATTTGGCGCATCATTAAACGAAAAATGCGTCAAAGGCGACCACGAACACTTCAGCAGCTGGAAACCTATATAAGGCAAGAATGGGACCAAATTCCAACACCAAAACTCCAGACACTCATAAACTCGATGCCCAGACGTCTTCATACTGTTTTGAAAAGAAGAGGAGATGTTGCACCATGGTAAACGTGTCCCCGTCCCAACTATTTTGAGACATGTAGCAGGCATCAAATTTGAAATGAGCTCATTTAGTGGATAAAAGTGTACAATTTCTCCGTTTAAACATTTGTTATGTTATCTATGTTCTATTGTGAATAAAATATTGGCTCATGTGATTTGAAAGTCGTATAGTTTTAATTTTATTCAAATTTAAAAAACGTCCCAACTTTTCTGGAATTCGGGTTGTAGAAGGGGGGATCTCTTGACCGCCCACCACACACCAGCTTATTGGTGGAGAGGAGACAGAATGATGAAGCCAATTAGTATGGAATTTTTTTTGAGTCAGGACCACGATTTAACGTCTCATTCAAAGGACGGTGCTCTTTGACTGTATAGTGTCCCCATCACTACACTGGGGTGTTAGGACCATAGACAGTAAAAGAAATGGCTAACGATACACCTAAAGTTACAGGGTATTCCACCATTTGGGGCATTAAGCTCATTTTTCACCGCCCCTCGAGTAAAACAATTGTTCCTTTACCGTTTAGGAAACCATTTAGCCGATCTCCAGGTATGGCGGTACCACTTTCACCATAGCTTAACGTAATTCATAGTATGGCAACAATACTAGGGGTGGAACAGTACACAGAAGTCACAGTTCAGTTCAGACATCACGGTTCGGTACGATTTCGGTAAAATGGAGTGAAAAGCAAATCAGAAATCTAGAAGGCATTTCTATAAATGTCTTATGCCTTTTATGTTTTAAATAAGTTTTATTAATAAAGACATAGAACCAGTTTATTTATTATAAATTAAACTAATAAAAAGATTAAAAAAAAAAACTTTGATATATATTTGGTAATTGTACCTGAATGAATTTAAAATGAATTTGCTATATTGCAGATCAATATATTTGTTTTCCTTAATTTTAATTAACCCTAACTTTATTCTCATCAGAATTATAAATAATTGATTTCCGTATAAAATAATAATACCAACACATTTGATTGTTTTTAATCAACGCATTACTTAAAAATAAACAGATTAGTGCCCTGTTTTGAGGACGAGAAATGAAAACCAATGCGATGTGATGAATGTCAAAAAGATGGAACTCTGTAACGGCCACCTTGTGTTAAGTATGTCATTTGTCAAACAATAATCAAAATGAGAAATAATCATTGAATACATTTTTTTTAGCTGCACCCATGGTTAAATTATTTCGAATATGGCGAAAATGTTTAAGATTAAATTTGACTACCTGTGCTACTTTTTTTTTTAAACAAAGTGTTGGATCAAGGACTACCCCAAGATATTTAAATTCAGATACTAAATCAAGTCCCACTCCATTCAGAAAGACATTTGATCTTATTATTTTAACAGTGTGTTTTGAGAAGCACATGCATACAGTTTTTCTAGTGTTCAGCATGAGTCATGAATCCTTAAAGTCCCTGTAAAGTCAAAATTAAGTATGTGTTCTGAGTCTGTCATACCACAGAAAAATGTGTTATTAGCCACCCAGCCAAATTTGAATGATAAAAAAAGCCGGCAAGTACATAAAATAAGCTATCAAAATCATGAAAAAATGAGCAGATTCTCTGCTCTCAAACGCTGGGGGCGTGTCCGCTGGCTGCGCTGAAACCACGCCCACTAGCGGGAAAGCTGTTGACGGTGATATTAGCTGATTAGCTTTTGGAGACGGGAGGATGAACACTGAGGCGGGAGATCGTCGTTTCGGCCCCGTTCACCAGTAACAGCGGATTATCAGTGAATCCCAGTTGTCTCTGAAGAAAGTTTATAAAACGATCCAGTGTAAAATGATCACTACAGAGGCGGGTGTTGGGGGTGATCCTCAGCTTTTCATCAACAAGGTTGGCTCTCTAAAAACCTCTTCTTGATGTGATCGTTTTTAGGGGAATTTAAATGAAGATACCGATCTGTTTTGTACATGATCGCATCCAGGTAGTAGCCCATGCATGTCCGTGTCGAAGGCATAGCTAGCTAGAAAACTGTAGGCTCAGCTGTAGTAACTAATAGTACTGACAGACACTCGCGATTGAGCGGTGAATGCGAATGTGCTCAGGGAGTGTGTGTGGAGAGGGGGAGATCAGACTCTGTGCGTCATCAAATAGGGGGGTGTCCAGCAGCTCATGGGTTCCAGTGCGTCACGGAGCCCTGTTTTAGCCCCGCCTAATTAATCCGTAAAATTGCAATGGTGAAAAACTGTTTAACGGTCTAACTCCACATTTCAGTACTTCACAGTTCACAGTCTTTGTAATATGTTTTAGCAATACATATGTAACATTTATAATGTGTTTAGAACTTTTTTGTAGAATTGCCTTTACAGGGACTTTAACCTTCCTGCACATAAACCAAAGCCGCTGTAAGATCAGCAGCTGCTTGTTGGATGGTTAATTAACTAGATAAACAAGTTGTTTTTAGAATTAATGTCCTGGAAAAATGCTTGAAATCATTAGATACGAGTAAGTACTTGCAATTGATGATTTATATGTCAGGGAATTCACACTCTGTTCCAGTTGTTACCTCCATGCTGTGGATTTCCACAAGTGTGGGCTGACCAGCAGAGGGCAGATTGGGTTGGACAAGGATCAGTTGACCAGCCGGACCAAACCGAGCACAGCGGTGTGGAATAGAATACTTCTCTGGAGTCAACGGCCTTGGAGGAGCTGAAAAAAAGGAAAAAAGGGTGAGAGAAAGACACAGAGGAAGAAAGGAAGCTTCTATTAATGGTAGAGCATGTGGATGTGAATTTCATGCTTTTTGTATTTTAGTGATACAGGGAATGCTGGGAAACACTTTTTCGTTAAATAAAACCATATTCCTTACTTGAAATAAAGCAACATTTCTCAATTTTGTTGAAGTATTAAAATATACTAAAAGTATATAGAAAAAAATAATAAAATAACAAAAACACAAAACAGTTACAAAAAAAAAATAATAATAATAATAATAATAATAATAAAAATACTAACAAAAACTAATAGTATATAAATAATTCTAAAATACCACTGTGTCAAGCAATTAACCTCTAAACTACATAAATGAGTGGTATTTTATAGCAAGTTTTGTACCTAAAACACAGAAACTGAAAAGAAAATCCCAATATTAATTGCAACATTATGGTGGACTTATGGCAAGCTTATGATGACTGCTTTGTGTTTGTGTGTAATACTTACGCTGATCTGTGGCAGTCCAGGTGTTGTCAGCAGGGTTGTAAGGAATCTGACTGTAATTTGCAGTATCTGAGGGGTTAGTATACTGGCTGTAGGTGTAATCCACTGGAAGAGTGGTCCCAGTGGTATCATAGGCTGCACTGACCAAGTCTGGTTGACTTCTGTACACCTGACTCTGCAGAAAGAAGAAATTTGTTACATACATTATGCAGATACACACATTAAACCACACCTAAACCACACAAACACAGACCTGCTGTGACCGTGAACTGAAGCTACTGCGCCGACTGTGTGATGAATGTACACTGTGCGCTGATTGTTCACTGTGAACCGAACGGCGGTCAAATTCATCAGCGTACGGGTCACGCCGGCGGCTGTCATCATCAAAGCTGGAGTCATAACCAGGGTAATACCGCCATGGATCATCATACCCCTCTCGTCCCCTGGTAATGATTACAATGAAAACTCAGTTAGAGATGTGTTAGCATGTAAAAAGAGATATAATGTAAGGGAGTGTACCTGTTTTGATATTGTTGGTTGTAATATGCCTCTCCTTTTCTGTAGCCATCAAGATCATAGTACCAGCCATATGTCGGATCATAGTAGGCTTTATAGCGTGGATCATAAGCAGCATTTGGATCATACCACCTGCTCTTATCTGCATACACAAACAAACACCCATAAGAAAAAAGTAGAAACACCACATTCAGCCCTTGGATGCATAGAGAGCAGCTGTCTGTAGTGCAGAACAGTCTTTACCTCCATAGGCATCATACTGTCTCTTATAGTAGTTTGCATAGTATTCGTCATAGGCACTACGGCTGGATCTAGAAAGGTCTTCTTGATACCCCTGTCTAAGATCAAAAATTAGAGAGAAAGACAAGGGAATCATGTTACTGATTGTCAAAAACAGATTTCAGAATGCTTTAAAACCAGGGCTTTTGGTGCAACCCAGGTCTGATGTTATCACTGGTTTTGGGATTCCACCAAACCACATCAGACACTAGGTCTGATTGAAACATTGGTCTATGTTTGGTCTAAGCGGAGTGCTCAAAAGCCATCCTGAGAACCCAAAAGTGGACAGAGATCTGCAGGGTCAGGGGGAAGAAACAAACTCGGATTGCAACCAAGCAAATTGAACTAAGTGTAAAAACACTCTTTCACCTGGAGTTGGGTCTGTCAGAGTATTGGCTGGTTCTAGAACTCGGCCTCTCTGGTTGGCGCTCAGCCTCCCGGTATCCAGGATTTTGACCATCATACCAGGCATATCGAGGATCTCTACGGTAGGGATCATCCTACAAAATCAAAATAAACGGGACTAAAGTAAGGATATTTTAAGAAGTCAAGTTGGTACAAGGTGTGCTAGCATTTAGAAGCTTCAATAGAAAGGGTAGAAACACATTAGATAACACTGCACCTGATAGTAGTTTTGAGATCTAGGATCTATAGGGTACTGGGGTGGGTACGGCAACCTTCCATCATGGTACTCAGGGTAGGCTCCTGGGTAGTATCCCGCATAGCCCGGAGCAGGGGGAATCGCAGAAGGAGCCCCATAACCTGACTGACCACCTAGAGATGAAGGAGGTCTTTGCGGTTCCTGAAGTGGCTGGGGGGCATAGTTTCCAGATTGGGGTGGGTAAGATAACGGTGGGGCAGATCCAGGTCCAGTAGGAGGGGCACCAGGATGAGTTGGAGGGACCTGTGGAGGAAGCTGGTGTTGAGCTGGAGGTGGATATGGAGGTTGGGAGGTGCGAGTTGGATCATTGTCGGGATGGTTACTGGAGGGTCGTGGGGGGTTAGAGATCTGCTGAAGGGGCAGAGCCTCGCTGTCAGACTGCCCACCAAGCTGTGCATCTTTGGTGACCTGCAGGTAAAAGCCAGGTGTGTTATTCACCAAGCCCGCAGGATGAGCTTTTTGAGACACCGCGGGTACTGATGTAACCTGATTTGTGGACTGTGGTTGATGCATAGAAAAATCAAGTAACTCATAATTTGAAGGTTGATTGTGATTAGTGGCGGCAGCAGCAGAAGGCGGAGCTTGAGAAATAGAAGGCAGAAAAGATTGGGCATCATCTCTAAGAGACTGGGCCCTTGAGAGAACAGGTCGGGCTACTTGAACAGAGGGCTGAACATCTTGGGCCTCTCGTGCTAGATTCAAGAGGTCTTGAGTGGAAGAAGGGTTGAAGTTTACTGGTGTCTGAGAAAAAAGAGGCTGCAGCTGATTTGTTGGAGGAGAAATCTGAGGCATTTGACTGATCACAGAAGACTGAACAGGTGTTGCTGTCTCTTGAGGACTTTTCTGATTTAAAGGTTGCGAGAGGTTTGTAGAGGAAACCAAACTGTAATTAGAGGAAGGTGGCGCAATCAACACAGGCTGGTTCAGAGCCTCTACGGGAGGTGAAGTTACTAGCAAGGAGGCATATCCTAAACTTGCCTGAGGCATTGAGTCTGGCGGAATCTCTAGGTTTTCAGAGGGAGGTTGTGGATCTGGCTTAGCTGAATGTAAATCAAGAGGGCCATCCTCAGGTGGCTGGATGACTTCAGATGGATGTGCTGGAACAAATGTTGCAGCCAAAGAGGGTGCTGCAGGGGCTAACAGTATGTTAGCACCTAGACTGGCAGTGTCATTTTGAGCCCAGAGTGTAGTAGCGGGACTCTCAATGGGGCGTCGTGCTCCCTGAGCCCGAGATGAGGGTCTGCGTTCCGAGAGGTAAATGGTCTCCAAGTTGTCTGGGGGTTGTTCTAAGTTGCCATGCTGCACATCACTTCCACCCTTTTCCATTACCATACGTGCACGATCAACCTCAGCAGGTCGAACTCCTACACCGTGTGATCGGACAGGCTCAAAGGAGGAATTTGCACTTGCCTGGAACACACCAACTGGTTTAGGTGGGCTAGGAGTTGGGAAAGTAGCACTTGCCTCTGCAGCTGGGTTGGAGTCTATTTGTTCAAAGTATCCACCAGTGGAGGAATGCAAAGGAGGGTGATCTGGTGGCCGGGGACTCTCCTGTTGGATGAACGTCCCCACTACACCTTGCTGTCGCCGCGGGATGTGGCCACTGCTGTGAGGACCATGTCCACTGCTGTGACTGACGTTGCTGTAGCTGGATGAGACACTTGCAGAGCGGGCAAGATGAGGAGCAGAGTCAGGTGTCTCCAAGTTAGCCCCCCCCTCAAAGGCATGGCTTGAGGGTGGCTCATTAGGCAGCACTTCCTGGTTTGGAACACATTCCAGATTCTCCACCGAATCACATGGCCCTGCCCCAGCTCGAATGTTACCACTGTCATTCAAATACGGACCGGAGAACTCAGTCATCGAATGGAGAGGGTGAAGAATCCCATTTACACGCCCCTCTCCTGACAGTGTTTCTTCATTTTCAACATCATTTCCCCCAAAGAACATTGAGAGAGTTCCAGAGTCACTGGGGACTTCAGAGTAGGGGACAGGGCAGGCACGCTGAGACTGATCCTGGGGACTCTGATTGAACCATGGCTCTGAGGGTCCACCTGACTGACTGAAATAATTCTGAGCAGGGAAGTGGGAGTTCTGTTGCAGAGTTGCACAGGGCCCAATCACATTCGGTTGAGCAAACTGACCTTGATACTGAGATGCTGTCAAAGGTGGGGCTGTGTGGGGAGAGGGAGCAGAGGGTGGGGCTGTATGGGGAGAAGGGACAGAGGGTGGGGCTATGTGGGGAGAGGGGACAGAGGGTGGGACTTGAGCTTGGAAATGCTGAGATGGGTGATCACTGGTTGGCTGAAAGTAGTTTTGAACGGAAGGTGGACGGCTTCCATGGTCAGGAACCCAGTGAGAGGGTAGGGGAGGCGTTGGCTGAGATTGAAAAGGAGTCTGGGATTGAACTGGAGGTGTTGGGGCAGTGGAGGGTTGATGTGATGGACTAGAACTGAAAGGAGGAGCAGGGTTAGGCAACTGTGCAATATAGGGCATTGATTCTTGTGAATTAAAGTATCCTGGTTCTGCAGGAGGAGGGTTGGAGCTTGGTGATGGCTCTAGGGGAACAGGTTGCGGTGTAAAAATTCTTGGTGGTGGGCCAGGAGAGGCTGCCTGCGCTGTTCCTGGAGGCGGCCCTTGTAGTGGAGCCATCGAGTTGAACCCTGGCAGGGGAGGGCCTTGCATGGGAAGTGGGTTGCTGTTTGTGGGTGGAGCTTGGCTGCCCCCTGCCATGGGCAAAAAGCTTTGTCTCCCAAAGGCAAAAGGATCTGTCACTGGCTGGGTGGGTGGGGTAGCCTGTGTCATAGCAGCTGCAGCCACATGTTTGTGGGGTCTGTTTCTTCTGAAGGCATTGGGGCCACCGGAGGAAGGCGGGGGTCCACTGGCTCCAGGAGGGGCTGCCCGAGGAGAAGGCTGCATCTTTTACACTCACAGGTCTCCAAAGTGTCTTTACTTACTGGAGATCTCACTATAACAGAAAAACACAGATAAATGTCATATCTTGGTGCAAAGATTGTATGGTTACACCACAGGGTTTCCCCGTTATCAATATGCATCATAAGAAAACATATCCAAAGTTCAGCTGCGCAACTAAAATAACAATGAGCATTCTGCTTTACACATCATGCATGCAGTCTATACTGTATAAGAACATAAAAAGGTGTCACTAGTGCACACAAACATAGCACTTCACCCATTCATGAAGAGGGAATTCACATGTACGTAAATAGTGTCGATTTTGATTTCATGCTGACTTTATACACAAGTTTCTTCTCTTGAACAAAAATATCATCACACCATCTAGGCCTAATTTTCATAAGCCTTAGGATGAGCAGGTGTGACTGTGAAGTCAGCTGTACTCTACTATGTTGGCATATAAACAGTCACAACACTCAGAAACCAGATATCAGACACACTGTGGGCCGGGTGTTAGAAAGAAATGTGCATTAAGTTACATTGAACTTTGAAACCTGTCAGACATTTCTTAAAGCAGGGGGCCTCACCTCTACAAGTGGATAGTTAAATCGACAACCGTAAAGGTTTATAAGTTTATAAAAATACAATGTTTATTATTAAACAACAATGTAAACACTACACGCTATCATAGCTTTAGTGAACTGTCTAAACCTACGTCATAGTGACAAACAGCATTGGACAAATGTTTGGGCACTCTTACTGTAACGTACTGAATATAATGTTTCCCATGATCTTTGAAACCTTTTGATTTAAAAGCTGATGCATAAATGCTTTAAATTAATTTGCTATAACTTTTGAAAACAGTTTATTATTCAAAGGTTTCTTAAGCACTAAATCAGCATATTATAATGATGACTTTTCAATTTTCAAAGACATTTCAACTTGGAATTGTGGAATTCTAATTGACAATATTTAAAAAAAAAAAATCCATTACAAAAACGTTATTTTAAATTAAAAATTATATTTCAAAATATTACTCCATAACTGTGTTTTTGATCAAATAAATGCCCCAAACTTTTGAACACTACTAGTGTATTTGCACTTGCATGAATGTCTTTACAAAGCTCTTTGCAAAGCTGGAATCTAAGCAATTGAAGAAGCTCAAATATATGGTGATTTTGATTTGTTAACTTTTGTAACATAACATTATAGTTACTTCACATACGGATGTAGCATATGTGTGTCGTTTCATACTTTTGATATAAAACATGGGAAATAGTAATAATCAGGAATGAGTAGGTGTCCAAACAGTGATACTGTCTCTGCTTACAATTTTAACCTTTATGGAACACAAAGATATAACACTGCATATGGAAGTTAACGATACTGCAGCAAGATAAGGAGGACAGTGGAATTTCTGGAGCCCAAGGGATGATAATTCAGATGTTAAGGTTACGGATGACAGTCTTAATTGTGTTGCCACATAGTGGACTACTTTTCTTAGTCATTTACAGGCCCAGATGGAATCTGCTGACTTTTTGTTCTGTCTGCACTGATTTTGACATGTAATGACAGCATCATAGTCATATTATCCTAAATGTTTTTAATCAAACACATGCAAGGTTAGATAATATATAATGACAGGTGTCAGGTTCCATCGAGTGACTGAAAATTTGTCATATATTTACATTTATATTTTACATTAATTTATACTGCATTATATCCGGCTCTAATGCGGACACGTATAGCGTTGGATTGGATTTACCCACTGATGTCACATCCTGCTCTTTAATTCCTGTCTCTTCAACTAGATCAGCAAATGCAGATAAGAGAGGTCTTGTACTAAAGTATTTTAAACAAACAAAAATAAAGACATTGTGATGATGTGGATCATGGTTCAGAGTAGAATGAGTAGGCAATAAAGTCAAAACAAAACACACACACGATGAACTTACAGCAGTGTAAAGCAAGCAAGGCAAAACAAATATAAAAAAAGCAGTAACGTTAGCTAAAACACAACATAACGAATCAATAGAACCTGCAAATTAAAATACGCACCCTGATAGAGATTAAATGGACATGTCACGAAAAGAAACACAAAATAATAAACATAAAAAATGTAAATAAGAGGATGCGAAGAATTACAGATGACAGCTGACTGGGCCACTAGCCGTTAGCATGCTAACAATTCTATTTAATCCCTCGAAACATAGGACTCTCTAAGACCAAACATACAGCTCCACATGGGATCCCTTACCTGTTATCTTCCAGTCGAGATGCCCAGATACAAACAAAACTTGATAAGAGTGCGGCTGAAGCTGAGATTCTCAAAAAAGTGCAGGACACAGCGGCTGACACTTATCCGCCATCTTGGCCGAGCGCGTCCTGCTTGGCTACGTGTACATGTGACGTCAGGAATAGTTCCCGTTGGCCCCGCCCCATTCACGATAAAAAAAAAACCATAAAATATTGCATGGCCACCACAATCTGATCAATGTGGGCTGTGATATTTGTTAAAAACAGACAGTAATAAAATTATGCTATTAAAAGTTTACAGTACCGTTATTACGAAGACATGATGGACAGACTGGCCTATAGCTAAATACCGCCCCCTCTTTGTGTCGGAGTGTAATTGAGGATTTAAAGAGATTAAAAAAAAAGTATTTTCGTTTATTCACCCTCATGTTGTTACAAACATGTATGAGTTTCTTTCTTTTTGATTACAAAAGAAGATATTTAGAAGAATACACCCACAAGACACAAGACAAGACAAGACACCCACTGACTTCAATACTATTGGAAATCAGTTGGTATCGTCAACTGTCTGGTTACCAACATTCTTCTAAATATCTTCTTTTGTGCTCAACGGAAGAAAGAAACTCAGGTCTGGAACAACTTGAGGGTAAGTAAGTGATGACAAAACTTTCATTTTTGGGTGAACTAACCCTAATATTGCACATAAATAAAGTGGGCAGGCTTCAAAATTTATTTAGATGCACAACACAATTAAGAAATATTTCTCTAAAATAAGTTCTATACTGTCAAAACACCAGGTTTTATGTCTGACATAGTCACAAACTTTTATCTATCTTTTTCGATTACTTTATCAAAGATGGATTTTAGAGGATAAAGAGGATTTCAAACTTATTTTTTAACAATCTTTATCAAAAATATATTATTACTTGTTATATTTTAATCAAACTGAGTAAATGACTCGAAATTTTTTAAATTTCCCTCTATGAAATCTTCCAAATGAAGTTTCATTTATGAAATGCAAGTAAAATACCAGTTCTTCATCATTTGTTTAATTCAGTTTCTAAACCTGAAATTGGTAGGTATTTAACAGGCATGATCAGATACAAGTAGCTAATTTTCTTAATTGGTGTTTCGCTTTTAACATAACACTCCCAATTTTTTTTTACCAAATAAATAATAATACAAAACAAGTCAGAAAAGTTTTTACACAATCTGAAATATTTGGAAAAACCTTGCAGGGACTGCAACAGCTTTAACATAACTAGTATTAAATGTAGCCTATACATTACACAAACTAAAATAAGGGAAGGGGGGGGGGGGGGGGGATTTAAGCATGCAGCAGAAAACATGAGATTTGCATTAAATACCAGGAGAAAGTAAGCATGTACAGAAAATATACAAAATATACTTAGTAGAGGTCCTGGGTAAGATTTGCACTTCATTTAGCGGAAAATATCTCAACTGTTATGGACTAATATGACCCCATTGAACAACATGTGATGTGTGCCAAAATCTCTAACCGGGACGAAAGTCCTGAAAATGACCACAATAGGTGACACTTATATCACAATACAAGTGAAAGGAACATTTATTTTTATTTTTATAGAAATTCTCATACATTTCTACCAGTTTAATCTTCATATTAAGAGAAATACCTTTTGTATTACACTTTATCTTAAAAATTAAATATGCAAATTAGGCAATATCTCATCATTGAATACGCGTACATACAACCTCTTGAAGCTACAGATTTTCTGAGGTGATCACAATGTTCACAATGACCATGTAGTGTAAGTGTTATACCTTTCTCACCAATGCCGTGAAGTAGATAATGATTGCGTGTGTTTGCGGGTATGAAATGCCAAAGCTGACTTAATTAAAAATAAATACATAAATAAATATACGAAGAGATATGAGATATTGCCTATTTTTAGACAAAGTGTAATACAAAAAGTATTTCTCTTAATATGAAGATTAATCTGTTTTTGAAATTTATGAGGATATCTATAAAGGGAAGAAAAAGTCCCATTCACCTGTGGTGCCATTATAGTGTCACCTATTGTGGTCATTTTCAGGACTTTCGTCCCGGTTAGAGAATTTTGCACACATACGTTGTTCAATGGAGTCATATTAGTCTATAAGAGTTGAGATATTCTCCACTAAATAAAGTGCACACAAATCTTACCCAGGACCTCTACTAACAAGACAAAATGCACACATCTGAAAGTAAACACAAGACAAGGTTCATTTAGAATCTTTTTTTTAATTTTTGCATTTATCTAGATGGATATTTTAACAAAATGTATAAAACCAACAGAGGGTAAAGCAAACTAAGATGTCCGAAAACACAGAAATAAACAAACACATCATTCTAAAACTATAATAAATAGTGAAACATCAAAGCAGGATTCTATGACGGGTTTTGCATTTTTGTTTGCATAAAGAAACACTCCCGATTCAGGAAGCGTCTGAATTACACACATACACATACCTACCTACGTCTAATGATAGCCCCTGTTTTGGTCCAGTAATCATGAAAGGATCTCTCATATCAGGCGTAACGTTTGTACAGAGATCCTGTGTTTACAGTAGTGTACCTTGAGCTGCAACCGCTGATTTTGGTCACTATATTGGGCCTGAATCACTATGTGAACGCAAACAAGAGTATATATTGTTCTGTATCTATGTGTTGGTGTGCATGTATGTATACAGACATTTGTGTATAAGCATTTAGTCTATATCCAGGTCGCTGTCTGAATCGGTAGGGTGAGTGACAGCGGCATTTCGAATAGACGAGTGTGTGGTTGGCTGGTTGTATTTCTCTGGAAGAAGGCCGAATTCCTGCAGCAGAGCTTCGACGTCTGTGGCGTAGAAATCATCTCCAAGCTGATCGGACACACGCACCAGATTCCCCACCAGCTCTCCTCCGCGGTACAGCAGCAGCGCCGGAAGAGCTGAACTGCGGAAGAGAGCGCTAGTGCCGACCGCAGAGCCGCGCACACGGCAGAACTTCACCTGCGGGTCACACAGAGGAACAGAGAAATGAGCAGAAGCCTTCCTCGTGCATACCACTGATGTTCCATAAGCACTGAAACATTCATAACATGTGATAATGAGATAATGAGATTCGAGAGATATGGCAGAGGGGAATGTTTTTAATTTAGTTCTGGTCTGTTCCTCATACAAAGCCATCAAATTACTGAGGTGTTATTTTAGTATCACTGAGATACTATTAGGTTGTTACTTTTATTAATTTACTTATATTTCATAAATTAATTTAGTTTTATTCATATTTTTAGTTTTTCCACTTTAATTTTACTTAAAAGGTTTAGACATTTTGTTGTGTTTTATTAGTTTTCAGTTTAAAAAAAAATAAATATCAAAAATTAAAAAAATTAAAAATGGAGAATTAAATTTCGCTGCCGATATTCGGCAGATATCCTCAGCAAAGAACCAGACAAGTCCTCACTCACAGACCTATGACCAGCTTTGCTTATGTGTGATGAATCTGATCTTCAAGCAATTCATTTAATTAATTCAATAAAATTCAATTTCAGGTTTAATACGTGCACTTTAATTATTTACATGCATGTACAATTTAACCGAATATCTATACATGCTTTTACAATATCTATACATCTATTTACAAAAAAATTTAAATAGATTTTCCTCATTTAAATGGTTGCTGAAATTATATATATATATAATTTCAGCAACCATTTAAATAAGGAAAATCTATTTACATTTTTTTTTACCTTTAATTAACTATAATAACCCTGCTGACAAGTCATTTTATCTGCTTTTTTTTGCCAGCTACTTTCAATTGTATGGGAAAAAAAAAAAGCATGTATAGATATTCGGTTAAAAATCTCCTTTTGCAATTCATAGAAGAAAAAGTCATTTGAGTATGGAAAAACATGAGGGTGAATAAATGATAATCACTTCAATACTAAAGAGTACTACTACAAATAATAATGATAATAGTACTAATCAATATTACTGTTAATAATAATAATAAAATATTATTCTTGTTAGCTATTCAATTGCTAAACTGACCAGCATTAAACATATATGATAAACATTATATAACATCAAGACAAATGAAAGCCCAAAGATGACACAATCCCTTCATCTGTTACCATTGGGTACTGCAGTGCCAGGCAGATCAGGCTGCCGTCCATGGCCTGGCAGGCGGGCACCTCTGGCTCATAGATGTGCACCAGCACCAGAGTGTTCTTGCCCTCCTCGTCCACAGCGCGCAGGAACTCCTCTCCCGACGAGATGTCAACGACCTTTTCAAAGCGCCGCCCTCCACACAGCTGTCGCCGCAACGCCTCCATGCGCTGCAGACGATACTGCTGGAGGAAAGCCTCATCATCATCATCATCCTCCTCCTCTTCATCCACACGGAGGTTCACCTGAAGACAGAAGAAAATTAAAAATGGAGAATTAAATTTCGCTGCTGATAATCGGCAGATATTATCCTCAGCAAAGAACCAGACAAGTCCGCACAGACCTATGACCAGCTTCGCCTACGTGTGGTGAATCTGATCTTCAAGCAATTCATTGAATTAATTCAATAAAATTCAATTTCAGGTTTAATACGTGCACTTTAATTAATTACATGCATGTAAAAAAAAATGTAAAATAGAGACAACATATCAAACTCTATCTCTGCATATGCTGTGAGTTTGGGTTGCTTATAACGTTCATCTGGGAACGCAACGTGCACCATTTCTTCAGATTTGTAATGTAAATCATTTATGATTTATGAACCTATGCCAACATGGGTGAATATATCACTATATTTCTAAATATGCAAACTATTCATCAAGATTTCAAAATAAAAGTTTTAACCCTCGGAGTTTGCATGTTTTGATGTCCACATATTATTGTTCAAGAAATTACAGCGTCTGTAGCAATTCTATCATAAAGAAGTGGCCAAATTTTAAAGATTAAGTGGACATGTAAATAAAATGTGGTTTGGCCAATATGAAACAAGGATTTGATCTGCTGTAAAGTGTAACAACACCAGGCTGTTGGCGCCCTCTGCAGGCATTTGTTATAATAAGTAATGTACATGAGATCATTGTTTATATTATGTATAATATGTATTTTAAAAGTGT